CTTATTCCTTTTTAATTTTTCTTTTTATAATAATCTTATTTATTTTATTTATTTTTATAATTAAATTTGTATATAAAAATTAGGTTTAATTTAGGTTAAATTCTAATGTCTTCTTAAAAAATTAAAATAAAATAGAATTAGGGTTAGCGTTTAATTGCAATTAATTTTTTCTATTAAATCCTAAAATACATAAAAATACCAAAAAAACAAAAACAATTTCTTTCTTTTAATTAATTAATTCCATGTAATTTAATTTTGCAAAAGGGTCCAACGCCCTCGTTTCGATTTAAATTTCAATTCGCATATTTATTTCCTTCGTATAATATTATGTATCTCTCCCGAAGCCATGTATTTAATTACTCGCACTTTTACTTTCTTTATTTTTCTGTCAAATCGGGTCTTGGTTAATTTTGGCGATGTGGACCCGCGCCTTTTGTAATAGCTTTAGATCTTTACTTTCCCGCAAATATTTTAACTGTTAACAAATGGCATGAAAGAATGTATGGACAAAAAATAAAAACAAGCGTAGAACACCAATAACATGACAAGATAAATACAAATGAAAATGACACACAAATCGCACACACCACCCCTAGGGTACGCCTCACTGTTGCCTTGCCTCGAAAGGTGATCGTCGAGTAGGGGATGTCTTAGTAAGTCCTCATGATCCGGGAACCTGGCATGAGGGTAGCTTCTAAGGTATCTTCCTATTACTCCGGTGATCACACTGTTGCCTTGTCCCTCGAAACGTGGCCGCCGACTATAGGACGTCTTAGTGAGTCCTTATGTCCCATTGATCTGGTTGCCTCGGAATAGTTGCCTCGGAATAGTTGCCTCAGAATAAAGGATCAATGGCATAAGGGTAGCTCCTAAGGTATCTTACCTTTGCTTGGTGGCCACACTGTCCCTTAATCGAATTGACCCGAACACCTCCAACGGTGGTGCTACCTACCTCTCAATGGTGGGATGGCACTACTTTAAAGGACATTTACACAGACGAATTCCTTAGGGTAGGTAGGTTCTCGTAGATACTTGCTCTAAATTTCAAAACAAATCAAAAATACTTTTCACACCGACACCTTTTCAAAAAAAAGCTTTCGAAAGCAATTTTTCAAACACTCTTGAGGACCGATACAAGAGTCGAACTGAAATTTTCAAAGAAACTTTTTTTAAAAAACCCACAGTTGAAAAGCAAACAAACCATTTTTGAAAACACAAATGAGCAAGTATCTAAGAGCCCATGGATAACCATGGATAGAAAGGGTGCTAACACCTTCCCTTTCTATAACCTACCTCCCGAACCGAGAGCAATCTCTTTAAGGAATTTTTCCGTGCTTTTGTCCTTTCCATTTGGAGAAAATAAAAGACGGTGGCGACTCTTGCTTCCGCGACATTTCGCGAACCAGCATTAAACAGTCAGTTCCAGATCCACCGATCACCACCCAGTGATGAGCAATGGCTCCCAGCAAGCCTTCTTTTATCCCCATGAAGTTTATTTCTTCGCATTGCATATAGTTATCATTACATATCATTGCATCCTCAAAAGCGCGTAGCTGATCCATCAGAATGGATCTCTGCGTCAAAAGAAATTCAAACATGCATTGCATAAGCCAGACCAGGTACCTTACCCGAAAGACCTGAATTATTCAAGGACAACGATACATCCCTACAGAAGGGTATCATGCCCGAAATCCCCAATCAGTGACCTTCACCTTTTCAATGCCAAACAAAATCAATACACTTTGCCGTTCTAAACCCAGTTCTTGTCTGGTAGTCGGTTCCCTAAACATCCGCCCGTGTCCATTCCTAAACACTCGTCCGTGTCTGTTCCTAAGCACTCGTATGTGTCAAGTTTCCTAAACACCCATCGGGTCAGTTATTCAAACACTCGTCCGTGTTTACACTTTTTGATACTCGTCTGTATCTTCTTTCAATACTCGTCCGTATTGAATCAAACACTCGTCCGTGTTTATACTTTTTGATACTCGTCCGTATCTTCTTTCAATACTCGTCCGTATTGAATCAAACACTCGTCCGTGTTTATACTTTTTGATACTCGTCCGTATCTTCTTTCAATACTCGTCCGTATTGAATCAAACACTCGTCCGTGTTTATACTTTTTGATACTCGTCCGTATCTTCTTTCGATACTCGTCCGTATTGATTCAAGCACTCGTCCGTGTTTATACTTTTGATACTCGCCTGTATCTTCTTTCAATACTCGTCCGTATTGAATCAAACACTCGTCCGTGTTTAACCTTGGATACTCGTCCGTATCTTCTTTCAATACTCGTCCGTATTGATTCAAACACTCGTCCGTGTTTAAACTTCCTTGATGTTCATCTGTGTCGCTTATCTAAACAATCATCATGTCATAACCCATGTTCCCTTCTTCGAACCTGAGATCGCCTCTTGGCTAGGTTCTTCCTTCAAATCATCGTCGAACCTGAGATCGCCTCTTGGCTAGGTTCTTCCTTCAAATCATCGTCGGACCTGAGATCGCCTCTTGGCTAGGTTCTTCCTTCAAACCTTCGTCGAACCTGAGATCGCCTCTTGGCTAGGTTCTTCCTTCAAATCATCGTCGAACCTGAGATCGCCTCTTGGCTAGGTTCTTCCTTCAAATCATCGTCGAACCTGAGATCGCCTATTGGCTAGGTTCTTCCCTCAAACCTTTGTCGAACCTGAGATCGCCTCTTGGCTAGGTTCTTCCTTCAAATCACCGTCGAACCTGAGATCGCCTCTTGGCTAGGTTCTTCCTTCAAACCTTCGTCGAACCTGAGATCGCCTCTTGGCTAGGTTCTTCCTTCAAACCTTTGTCGAACCTGAGATCGCCTCTTGGCTAGGTTCTTCCCTCAAATCATCGTCGAACCTGAGATCGCCTCTTGGCTAGGTTCTTCCTTCAAACCTTCGTTGAACCTGAGATCGCCTCTTGGCCAGGTTCTTCCTTCAAATCTTTGTCGAACCTGAGATCTCCTCTTGGCTAGGTTCTTCCCTCAAATCTTTGTCGAACCTGAGATCTCCTCTTGGCTAGGTTCTTCCCTCAAATCATCGTCGAACCTGAGATCGCCTCTTGGCTAGGTTCTTCCTTCAAATCTTTGTCGAACCTGAGATCTCCTCTTGGCTAGGTTCTTCCCTCAAATCTTTGTCGAACCTGAGATCTCCTCTTGGCTAGGTTCTTCCCTCAAATCATCGTCGAACCTGAGATCGCCTCTTGGCTAGGTTCTTCCTTCAAATCATCGTCGAACCTGAGATCGCCTCTTGGCTAGGTTCTTCGTTCAAACCTTTGTCGAACCTGAGATCGCCTCTTGGCTAGGTTCTTCCTTCAAATCATCGTCGAACCTGAGATCGCCTCTTGGCTAGGTTCTTCCTTCAAACCTTTGTCGAACCTGAGATCGCCTCTTGGCTAGGTTCTTCCTTCAAATCATCGTCGAACCTGAGATTGCCTCTTGGCTAGGTTCTTCCTTCAAACCTTTGTCGAACCTGAGATCGCCTCTTGGCTAGGTTCTTCCTTCAAATCATCGTCGAACCTGAGATCGCCTCTTGGCTAGGTTCTTCCCTCAAACCTTTGTCGAACCTGAGATTGCCTCTTGGCTAGGTTCTTCCTTCAAACCATCGTCGAACCTGAGATCGCCTCTTGGCTAGGTTCTTCCTTCAAACCTTTGTCGAACCTGAGATCGCCTCTTGGCTAGGTTCTTTCTTCAAATCTTCGTCGAACCTGAGATCGCCTTTTGGTTAGGTTCTTCCCTCAAACCTTTGTCGAACCTGAGATCGCCTCTTGGCTAGGTTCTTTCCATATACTTTGTCTTAGAACCTGAGATCGCCCTTTGGCTAGGTTCTCTGTCAAATCACTCTCATGTATCAACTTGGGATCGTAGGTCGCCCGTAGACCTCGTCCGCTGTCTTTTCATACCAACCATTTGTCTTGTATTGGCATTAAACCACGTTACAAGTTCAATCTCTGTCCCTTCATTGAAAAAACAAATTTCTTTCCCCAGCAGATATCAAAATAAATAAAGAAAACACTTACTCCCTCTCTCAGGACAAATTTTTGGCATTGATATTTAATCATCTTCAACCTCGAACTTCCGAAAGGCATGTGCCAATCGTACTTTCAGGTTCAAGACGATTAAATAGGGACAGCTGTAATACCCCAAATTTGTCCTACCCTTTTACTTTTATCTGGCTTACGCATTTTTGCATTTTTCTCACATTTAGGTCATCTAACACATCATGCATCATTAATCAATAAATTGGCATAAGATCATGGATCTCGAGGAATAAGGGTTGGTGTATGGCTTTAAGGCTCCCATCTTCGCACAAGCTTGTTTCGGTTGATTTCTCCATTAATAATCTGTTTGAAACTAGGTTTTCATTTCATGGACCTTATCATCATCAAGCTACGAGGCTATTCTTTGCTTCTCAATGTCAAGTTGCAAGGTTTTATGAGACGGAGCTAAAAATCAGGGTTTATACATTTTCATATTTGAGCTTGTCAGCATTCTACCTGAGGTTCATTCCATATCAAGGTATTCGCATGTCTCATCTTTCATATTCATCTGCAAGGAATCCCTCAGGGCATAATCATTATCATCTATTGAGAAGGGGTCTAAGACGTCGTTATTCTAGTGCTCATATAATCGGGACATGGTACAAGATGTTGATTGTGATCAAGGTGTCGTTATTTCAAATATTTATTGCTTGACACGCAATTTTGGTTTAGATCGGAAAATTGAATTGAATTAGGGGTTCACTGAAGCTGTGGTTTGATTAGAATTCATTCATCAATATTTGAAGTGGATTTGGAATATTTGAAGTGGATTTAATCAAAGTTGTTAAATATTTGCGTGGCCTTTCTTGGAATTCAAACCACAAGTATGAAAAAGCATGCATCAAATTCATCCAACCATCAAAATATTGTCCAAATAGCCTCTCTTGGATTCATTCAAGATTCATGTCTCTTTTGGGTACCTTGCAAATATTTTGGATTCATACGATTTATTTGAATTCATACAAAGGCCATTTCATTATGTGGAAATAAAATCAACATACATTACAATTATTCAAATACATACAAATCCAAATTCCATTACAATTATACATAACATCTATGCATTTCTACCGAAACCATATCATAACCAAATACCCAACACCATTTACAATATCCAAAAATACTACAAAAAACAAGAAATACAATTAAAAGTGAATATATTGATTCTCATCATCGCTTTTTGTGTGGCCTCGTCGTGTTTGAAATGCAACCTTGTTGCTTCCATCTTCATTACCTTCTTCATGACCAAACCGGCGTATTGTAACTTGCCATGGTCTATGCTCTTTTTCCAAAGCAATCCTGAACATTTACACAACAAAAAGATACAATTATTATCAATCCCAAGGCAGCCCTGCACATAAATTTCCTAACAAACTTCCTATCCTAAACCATACCTCAATTCACCAACTAACTGCAAAACAGAATAGTTACAGCGAAAAAAACTAATTCAACGGTAACCTACTTTCCTCCTTTTCCCACCTCTTAACCAAATTCTAACCAACTAACATAATCTCTAACAATAAAAAACAGAATAACTAACTACCTCCTAACCACTTAACCAAATTCTAACCATAACTAACTGTCAAAAATGCTAACAGTTTCAAAAACCATTCCTAACTTCCTAATATCTCTAACCAACTTTGGCAAGCTAATGGTACTATATAGCAGAGGAATCATTCATGATTTAAAGGGGGAACTCACAATTCATCTACACAGAGAAACTCCAGATACCAATATTTATCTATTCTATACAATTCATAATAGAGATTCAGAGAGAAGAATATCAAGAAATCACCTATAAGTTATCCTATGCAAACTCCTCTGCAGATCCTTCATCATTTTTATTCATGTTCTTCAAATATCATCTTCTTATACATCTTCTTGAAGCTTCAAGACGCCTTCAATCATTTGCCATCTTCACCAACGAATCTGCACATCACGAGCATACATGTCGCAATCTGCATCATCACCTTCGAGCTTCAATCTTTATTCAGCTTCTGTAAAGACCATCACAACAACCGCACCATAATATACACCAGATCCCACACAGAAAGAAAAAAGAAGAAGGAATTCATGATATATTCAAAAGAGAGAAAAGTGATAGAAAAATTTCATAATACTCACCTTTCGACTATTTCTCTCTGCAATACCTCTTCAAATCCTTCATCATTTTGACATCTTCTCGGAGCCTTCCTTGCAGCTTTAGCCTTCCTCAACATCCCCAATCACCATCGTCAAGCAACAATTTCTCTATGTTCCCGTCATCTTCAATAAACTCTCTGAACTTCAACCGCAACAATCGTCACTCTTCAATTCTTCCGACGTCAACAACTAAATCGCAACATCTTTCTGCATCAATGTCATAATGTCGATCTTCAACCGCAAACGCGCAACAACATCCACAATAGCACGAATTTGCATTCTATGCGTCAGAATCAACAATCAAACTCATAGAGAATGCAAAAGTATAAGAAAAACGAAGAACGAACAAGAAAGTTATGGTGCTCACCTGAGTTCGAATCACGAATCAAATTGAGACAAAGGAAATCGTGATATGGTAACAGCGGTAGTTGGAGGAATAGATAGAGATCGGGCACCGTTGATGAAGGCGAAGAAGAGACGGAGCAACACAGGCGAGGAAGTGACGATGGTGAGCGGCTTCAGAGGAAGAAACGGAAGCGAGGTAGAGATGATGAACATGGGGTCGGAAACTGATCGGAGCACCGTTGACGGAAGAAGGCGCCGCCGCTGTTCCGTTCGCGAGAGAAGAAGAGACTTTTCATTCTAAAAACCCTATTCCCTTTTCAATTTCCATGCTTTATTTTCTTTTTAGTTTTAACTATTTTATTATTCTATGTTTTATTTACTTAATTCAAACAAATAATAATAATAATTAAGTAAATAATAAAGAAAATGTTGAAAATCTTTTTGGGCTAATTACTTCAGCACCCATATTTCTAGACTTCATACCCCAACTCTTCTAATTTTTTTTCTTTTCTTTTATTATTTTAGTTTTTTCTTTTAATTTAATTTTTTTAATCAATAATAAAACAATAAAAATAATAGAATATTTTTAGAATAGAATTCCTTTTTAGAATTTCGATTAGAATTTTTCTATTTTATTTTTCATATTCGATAATCATTTTATTGACTTTTTAGTCAAGATTTTTTGTGATAGCATTGATATAACTCTTGCAATGTGGAATACTCGGGGTTAATTCTTCAATCACCCGCCCAAGGGAACTTTGATAGAGTTCTCTTACCGCTTGCACAATTTTGAAGAGGCAATGGACCTTCTCCGTTCGGTATCGTCGCAAATCTATTTCATTTTCGCACTTTATCGCGAATCCATATGCATACTAACATCAGGTAGAAATTTCCCCTTTAACCTAAATCTTATGGCTACTAACGCACAATAACATTAGGTTTAGAAATAGGCTAATTCCCCTTTAACTTTTCTTTCCCTTTTGCATTCGCACCTAAAACTAAAACTTTCTCTTTCTTTCAAAATTCAAAACACTTTAAAACTATTGATGAGAATCATGCTTTTGCTTAGTACGGGAAATGATAAGCGAGTCTCTTCTCGATCTTATTGTTCTTCATCTCAAGCATAGGTGTGGTTCAATTCTCAAAGACTCTTTTCATAACTAAGTAGAAAAATGGCTAATATCTCTCTCTTGAGGTCAATCAGTCATCATCTACAACAAAAAAATACAGAACAAAATCAAATTTTTTGTGCGCTCGAGCACCATTTCATTAAAAAAACCTTTTCAGGTAAGGACACGATTAATTTACTTCTGTGCCAACGCATAAGTCTCCAAAGGTCGAGCTGCGGCAGAAGGCAGAATTAACTTCGTCCATAAAAAACACAAAACAAACAAAAAAATATGAGCCGAACTACGGTAGCTATGATTCCTCAAAAAGGATACGTAGGCATTGGGGTAGGGCCCAGGCGAGCACAATTTTATTTTCCCTACATTCTTTTCCCCTTTCTTTTGCATGCATTCTCCAGTAGTATAATAGACAATAAGCATAGATTAAACACACCCATAAGATAGATAACAAGAGTGGATACCGTAGAGTACTACGGGCGTGTGGGGTGCTAATACCTTCCCCTCGCGTAACAGACTCCCTTACCCGATCTCTCGGTCACAAGACCGTGACTTCTCCCTCATCAGGTTTTCTCGATGTTTACCTTTCCCTACATGTGGGATAAAAGACGTTCGATGGCGACTTCATTGTTTTGATGATTTTCAGCCGGCTGTTTCAGTAGGATCAAAGGACCTGGGTTCGACACCCAGGTTATTTTCTGGCTAATATTTGTCTTGCAGGTCTAGAATCGAGAATAACTCTCTCTCCTGGATCGAAGAAGACGACTTCTCCCCCCTAGATAGAAGAAGACGACTTCTCCCCTTGGATCGAAGAAGATATCTTCCTCCCCTGGGTAGAAAGACCATAATTTGCCTGGGATCGAAACCCCCCTCCTTTTTCCTGCAATCGAAGGGTGCCCCTTTTATATTTTTACTTTTTGGTTCTTTTCTCTATTTTTTTAATCTTTTTTAATTAACATTAAAATCAAAATCACAAAAATATTAGGCTAGTTATTTTTCCAATTAAATTAATTTTGTAAATAAATAAATTAATTATTTTAACATTTTTCTTAAAATTAAAAATTAAATAGACTCAAGCCTTATTTTCTTGTATATCAAAAACAACAAAAATATTTCTTTTCTTTAGGATTTTTTTTAGATGTATTTTCTATTTCATGTGCGTTTATTTATTTCCAATATTTTACTATTATTGTATCTGCCTACCAGATGTAATAGATAAAAATTATGACAATTACTGCTTTATCCCTCATTATCCTTGTATAATGTAAATCCCCTCCCCAAAGCATTGTAATAGCATAAGACCTCTATTTTCTGCATTTGTACTGCTTTTCATATTAACTGCTAGTAATTAGGCTTGTATGATAAGACTAATAATCAAACGCTAGCAAACTTAATAAAAAGACAAAAAATAATTGAAACACAACACAATTGCACACAAGCACCTCTAAGGTACGCCCACTTTGGTTGCCTTCAATAAAACGGTCATGGGGCAGGAATGCTTTAGCAAAGACCCGTAAAATCAAAAGATCATAGTCTCTTGATGACCCTACGGTTGCCTTTTCGGTAAATGATCTAGTCCCTAAAACAGAATTGCTAAAGCATCTCCATAATTGCCTTCGTGACTGTAACGTCCCTTCGATTGTGCCTCAAACATCCAGCGACAAGGCTACCTACTCACTAATAGTAGGATAGCACTGTCTAAAGGAAAATAGGAAAAGAATAATCTTTTCGAGTAATAAAGTAGATAGTTGTTAGAAGTTTGCTCAAACTATTTTTGCACTTACACACAAAAACTACTTTTCAAAAACAATTTAAAAACATTTGCTTTTTTAACACTCTTGAGGACTGATACAAGGGTTAAACATAAAGAAAATTTCCGTACTAAGGTGTTTTCAAAACATTTTCAAACACAAAGCACAAAAGCATCTTGAAAAATGAGCAAACCTCTAAGAGCCCGTGGAAAACTACGGATGGAAAGGGTGCTAACACCTTCCCTTTCCATAATCTACCCCCTTACTCAGAAACATCTCGAAAAGTTCTTTTTCTGTTCTTTTCACCCTTTTATTTGTTGTATAAAAGAAATGACGGTGGCGACTCTTGCTTACCTCACATTTGCAAACAGAAAACGCAAAACCAACATATTAAAGCAGTCGGTTCTGCAATCGTAAAACAGAACTGGCGACTCTGTTGGGGAGAGTATAAAAAAGTGAGATTACCTTAGAGTTAGTTCACTATTTAACTGCTTTGTTATGCTTTGCATGCTTTATCCTTGGAGGGTTGTTTGGGTTGTTACTATAGATCCTACACCCAGATCTGGGGCACACTTTTAGGTAAACAGCAATAGATCGTGGAGACTGTACAACATAGACTGATATGGTTGAAGCGATGGCTGTGTTTGTGTGACACTTTGGTTGGTACTTGTATCCCTTGTGTTGAATCGAGGAGAATACGGGGCCGCCGTATGGTGTCGTGAAGCACTAACGAACCTTAAAACCTTAGTTTAACAAAATTGTCCATTAGAAAGTAGTGAGATAGCCGATCTCGATGTAAAGCTGGGAATTAGTTGATACTCGATGCTACACTCATTGAGATTGGACTTTCGGGATGTTTCAGCCGCAAGAAAAGATTGCTAAGCTGAGATAATACCGATAAAGGAAGATTAGTGATATTGAGACTCCTTAGAACCCGGTTACTATTTCTAAGATAGGTTGAGCCAACTAAACTTCAAGAGGATACTTACCTATGAAATCCATGCAAGCCCAAACCTAAGGCTTCTTGTGTGACTTGTTTGCCTTTATTGTCTAACAACTTGAATTCTTTGCAGGGTTGTGTTTGTCACCTTAAACTTTTGCTTAATGCATAACATGCACATCATAACATCATGCCACAACATTTCCTTAACCATTTCAAGGATATCAAGGGTTTGTGATATAGGTTATGGCAAATCAGACGTCTAGCAAGGGGCAAGGTCATTTCTTTTCCTCTAGCCAATACCGTCAAAAGATCAAAACTCAACAACTTGAGTCAGAGGCTATGACCCACTTGATATGGTGAGCTTGACTCTTATAGAAGGACCTTCAACAATACAGAGTTCTTCAAAACTACAAACTTCAACTGCTGACATCTTCTTGTTTACCCCGCGAGTCCTTGAAAACATTGCATGCGCATATCATACATGTTATAGCATAAACAAGTTTCAAAGCAGGGTCCTCATCTTATTCGCTGTTTATTTCAACAAGTAAAGAAATGGCTCTCAAACAAACAGTCAAAGACCTTCAGGCTCAAAACGCTCAATTCCAACAAATGTTCTTGACTCTGACCCAGGGGAAAGAAGACCTGAAAGCTATGCTCGTCAAAAAGAAGGCTAAGAGGGAAAATAAACTAGTTCATGTGGGAAGGAGAAGACCAGTGTAGCGATAAAAAATGTAGCGGGGTAAATCGGAGATCGAATTATTGATTAATTCGTCTCACAAAAGCAAGAGTCGCCATCGCGCTTTATTATTTCCAAGGGAAAATGGGAAAGAGCGAAATAAAACCCTAAATATGCAATGTAAAATAATACTTTTAAAAGTAATAAAAATACAAGGCGTTTTTG